AAAAAAAAAAAAAAAAAAAAGGAGTCTTACCTGAAGCTTGGTCTTCATGAACTGTTTCTCACCATTGATTTACTACATTTTATTGATTACGGTGAAAAACATGCGGGAGGGGGTTCTGGGGGATAGGGAAAGCTTATAGGTTTGCTGTTCAGAAACTTAGATTAGCATAGTATGCTAAGTAATGGGTTGCCCATACTGGTATCTAAGTTCCCGGACCCGCAACACATGTTTAGGGCTCTGGTTTCCTTGCTGGGTGGGGGTTGGCTGAGGATTTAACTCTATGTACACGGGTTTCAATGTTCAGGCCTTGGCATCATGCATAGGCATATGAGTTCTGCCGGACAGGGACCTATTTGCATGTTTTACATAGTAAAAGCACACTGACGGTCAGAAATAATCCCACTTCACATGATTGCTTGCGTCCCAACATGTCAATTAAGGAAAGTTTCAGCCAAAACCTCTAAGCTCTAAACCGCCAACCGCGAGAAACATAAAAACTTCAAAGTTCTTCCTTTGGAAGTTGGAAAAGGTTGACAACTGGCGCTAGCTATAGCATAACTGGAGTGATAATCCAACCTCTGGGTGACTCTTCAGGAGCCAGGACTGAATGGTTGCCAAACATTTTTAACGCATCTCAGTACACCTCTTGTGGGCACTTTGCGTCTGCAACTGCTGGCGCTTCCAAGGGTTCCAAGAGGCAGCCGAACCTGGGTTCAAGATTACTGGGGCTTAGAGTTGGGGTTAGGGTTTCACATATGATTATTGCAGGCCCCCGTATAAGCAATTAATTTCTTTCAGAGAAAGTGAGAATTCTTGGAAACCTTTGTGTCGAAATCTGAGAAAACACCGAGATTTTTGTCGGAACCCAAAAAACAACAAAAAAACTCCGGTAGTACTGAGGCCAAGAAACGAAAAGAAAAAACAACCAACAAACAAACAAGCAGACAAACCCAAAAACTCCCTCCAGTAGTAACGAGGCTAAGAAACAAAAAACACCAAAAAAGTCGAGTCCCTGAGTCCTGAGCCTCAGAAATATGGCATTGTTGTTGTTGTTGTTGTTGTTGGTGGTGGTGGTGGTGGTGGTGGTGGTGGTGGTGGTGGTCTTGTTTTGGATTGCTGTTTGCTTCAGATGTTTGGTCATTTTCAATTCTATTTTTGCACATTTTCCCATTAAGGCTTATTGCAGACCTAGACCTCTTGTTTTCATACTGTTCTCCAACGCGCCTGTCATTCTAGAAAGGAACCCGTGTTCTAGAGCATGTTTTGTCGAACTCATCGATTTTTGCGGGCCGCGCACGGTATCAATAGGTCTGCTCTTATACTTCTTTCAGAGCAGAGGCATCTCTCTTCTGCAGAGCACAGGTTTGATTCTACACAGGGCTCTCTACATAGTCCATTATTCAAAATGAAGAACATGTTCTTGAAATACAAAAAATGCATCTTATTCAAGGCACGAACCCGTCGCCATGTCAGGAGAGAGCGCAAGCTCCAGTTGATTCTATTGGATGTATTCTCTCAAGTCAATTGTGTCTCTCTTGTGTTTTTATTGTGGGGAGAGAGAATTCTCTTCCGTTCGCAGGAACAGAGGTTTGGTTCAAAGGGGGCCGAATTAGGCATTATGAAAGAAAATATTCCTAGTGACGTTCATTCGCTAGAATGTGGGTGAAGCGTATTTTATATTTGACACGTTCCCGCTCCATAGTCTTAGTGTCCAAAGGGTCTGCATGTGTCCGAAAAAATGTGGAGAACAGGAGCCCAGGATTTAAGGATTCCTGTTCGCATCTTCAACACGCGTAGCAGGTATATGTGACATTCACAATCAGATGTGCTTTCGCCGAAAAATGTGCACAGCCATACTAAGCCTGCTCCGTGGCATCAGTCTTGCCAAAATGTCAAAAATATTGGCCCACGACAGTCCCATCTCTAAGAGTTGGGGTGTAGGCTGGCTGTTGGCTAGAACATAGGGGTTTAGATGGGGATAATGGAAAAGAAAATGGAAACTGCTATCGTGTGCTAGGGCATAAAAATATATATATATATATATATAAAGGCCATATATATATATAGAGTTAAAAAACGGCTTATTTAGAGAGATATACGGGTAGAAAGGGGTAGAGGGGGAACGAAAGGAAAATGGAAGCTATTATTTGAGGCTTAGGGATAGCACCAGAGCGACGGAGAACAAGCCGAAAGGAAGATGGAAGCTACTACGGAATTCTAGGGCAGAGGGCTTAGGAGTCAGGTTTTAGGGTTTAGGATTCAGGTTGTATACGGGCGGTTCGCCACAAGCTCCAACGTAGTTTTTTCTGGATTTGTTGTGGCTTGTTGATGGCCAGCCCAAGAGGAACTATCTATACTACTCCTTTCTGGAATCCCCTTTGTAACCCCATTTAAGGAGTTTAGGCCAGAGCTCATGGAACACGCCAAACATGGAAATGTTCTTCAATGTTTGGGCCTACTGGTAGCGGCCCTTTCAACCCTAATCCTCATCGAGCCCTGATCATTTGGGGCTGTTGCCGCGTTTTCCATTCACTTTCCACTCCAATCACAAAGGTAGGTCTCGGGGGCCCCTGGGACAATGCTTTCGTGGCCATGAAAATTCAATCACGATGTAGGGCATTACAAAACAAACCAACCCCTGACTACATGCTTCGTCTGTTTGGTAATCGTTCTTTACAATTTCCAGCAGTGCTCCTATTGCTGCTATCCGGACCCTGTCATCCAGCTTAGCGGCTCCTCATGCTCGAGGAGCATCCAGCCACCGGCAACCTCAATAACTAGGTATGCAGGACTCAGACTTCTCTGTAGCTTAGATAGCACATGGTTTATGCATTATATGCCGGGATTCTGTCCACAGGGTCGTACACTTATCTTCGCTATTCAGACATGGAGGTGTATGGCTTTTTCAAGCCCACTCACCCTTGAAGATTGTTTGAATTCGGGTCCAGCGGTCTAGAGTCTAGTATACATCTATAAGTGCTTCTTGTCAATTTGGGCGGAAGTCTGGACATGTAGCGCTGGAGCATTTAGAGTTAACTACGACTAGAAAGGCGCTGGAGCATTTAGAGTTAACTGTGACTAGATAGGATCACTATCATTACTTAAGGTAGCGGAACCATGACCAACATGTGGTACTACTACAGGACAGCTGACTACCAGCAAATCATGCCTGCCAGCCTCAGGCCCCATACCTTATCACTGTAGTTTCCTTAGACCTATAATAAAAATGAAAATATTTCCTAATGGTTTGTTACGGTTTAAGGCTTAGGGTTTAGGGTATACGGTTAAAAGAAAAATTCCTAAGGACAGTACAGATCAGACTTTGTGCGTCCGTGTAGGTCCTAGTAAGTGGAACATTGAAGGGACGTTTAGGATTTAGGGTGTTAGGATAAGGGTTGTATAGGGGGTTTATTGGGAATAGTGGGAAATAAAATGGAAACGACTATTTAGGGTTTAGGGCTTAGAGTTTGGGATTGCAAAGCCTCGAAACGGAGCATGCCAAAGAAAAGGCAGGCCATCTCGAAGTGCTCTGGTTTTGTAAAGAAACCCTGGACCCTGAAGACCTTCGGTTTGGCATTCCTGTAAGGATTCACGCTATAGGGTCTTAAAACTGAGGAACGTCTTACCAAAGAAACACAAACAGGCATCTTCTTTTTGGAGTCCACACAAAAGGGTTCGAAAGAAGCTGGTACTATCCTGAAAGGGGACCCATAAAATGGTAGTTTCCCAAAATAGGGGAACCCCAATATGGTCCTCAAAATCTAGGAATCCTCATTATAAGGACCCCCAAAAAGGCACCCCTCATTTTGGGGGCACCCCAATCCCTACCAGAAACCCAGATTCCTAAGGGCACCCCTCATGGAAAACACAAAGCATCTGGCCTGGCCATCAGCATAAACGCGCCGCCAACGCCGGGTTGGGTCAAACTCAAAGAGCTCCACCACAGTGCCTTTGTCACACGCTCGCAATTAGACACCCCTCTTGCTTTTGGAGCATTCAGGGCTGGAGAACTTTGTTGAGATCGGGTACGGAGATTGGGTACATGCCGGGGCGCAGATGTGCGTGCTTTATGAGAAAAAGGTTCCAGGGTTGCTTCCTTAAGCACAGTATCTGGATCTGAACCGGGCTGCAGCCGTCTCAACAGAAAACCTGTTTATTGGATACCGCATTACGGCACGCTGCAATCATCAGCTCCGCATGAGCTTCAGTGCACAAAGCCACACAATTCGATCATAGCCGCTCCCTGATCTTTTGTTTGGGCATGTTCCTTTTCAGCCCTCACTCTTGCATGTGTTGATTCAACATTGGGATGTCAGCAGCAGCCACATGGCGAAATTGTTCCACATGGCACGGAATGACAATGATCATGTTTTTGAGCTTGGGTGGGAGGCTGGGCGCCTTAAGCAAAAACCTCAAAAACCTGAACCCCTAAGCCCTACGTCCCGACATCCAATCCCTAAACCTCAAGCCCCAAAGCCCTATAACTGAAACCTCAACCTCGAAGCCGAACCCTAAACTCACAAGTCCCCCTACTGCCCTCCACCCCTGGACACCCTTGCAGGTTGAGGGTATCGTCAAACCCCCCTCAAACCCTGAGCCCAAAACCTCAAATCTAAACGCTGGACACCTCAAATCCTAAAACCTGAACGTCGAACCGAACCTCAAACTCCCAACCCTAAAAAACATAAACGCCAAAACCTGAACCCTGCCGTTCCCACCCATTACTGGACTGGACTGAGAAACGCATGAAAGACTTCAAAATGGGATTGGCGTGGCACGCCATTCGCGCTGAGACGCCCTAAACCCTTTACCTGAACCCTAAAACCTCTACTACCCCCAAACCCCAAACCCTAAACCTAGACCCCAGAACCTGAACCCTAAACCTTAAACCCTAAACCCCATAGTAGTTTCCATTTTCTTTTCCATTATCCCTATAAAGCCCCAATATACGATAGTATATACCTATAATCCCTTATATAACCGTAAACCCAGACCCCCGAGCCAGTCGCCAGGATGCCACGGCTCCGGGCTCCCACCGCCTCAGCATCCGCGCGGGGCTCGGCGCGCACAGCGCAGGAGCTCACGATGACGGTGTATTTGCCTAGGGGGGGTTGCAGCGGATGGCGTGAGATGCAAGAGGTTTGTTGGGGGGTAGGGGTTAAAAGATGTCGGGTTTAGGAATTTAGGTTTAAGGAAAATGGCATGGGGATTTGAGTTCAAGCGTTCGGGCTTAGGGAGTCCGGTTACAGGATTTGGGATTCGGGATTCAGGTCTAATTACAGCTTAGGGCGTAGACTCCAGAGTTCAGTGATTCAGGGATCAGAGGCAACAGCTTTGCTGAGCAGCTCATGGCTTCTTAGGGCTTTCATGCTCCATACGGAGTACATGCTGAAGGTTTCCGGATTAGGATCTAGTGTTTTAGGGTCCGGATGAAGTTTAGTGTGCTTGTCGGACATCCTTTTCAAGGAATGCATGAGGCTATTGGAGAGCGATGTGGATACCCACAGTCAATTTTGGATTAAACAGAAAATGGTACCCCTAACTTTGGGAAACCCTAAACCCTAAACCCTAAATAGTAGTTTCCATTTTCTTTTTCATTATCCCTATATAACCCCTATGTTACCCCTATATAACCCCCTTGAAAGTAGTAGATGAGAAGCAGTATCCAGAAGCTGGAGCGATGCCAAGCAACGTCAGTCAGAACGGCTGTGAGTATGTTTGCGGGTTTAGGGTTTAGGGTTTAAGGGTTTAGGGTGATACGAAATGAACTCACAACCATAGTCACATGTTGAAGCAGAAAACCTTCTGAATGACGGTAGCAACCAAATTCACTTGTGGCGAGTGGAGCTTTCCCTAGGCTGGGTGGGGTCTAGGGTCTAGGGCGCGCACTTGAAATTCTTGCCTGAGCTCAAGCCTGTAGACCCTGAGAGCCTCAAACATCCAACACCAACAAAGGTTATGAATCAAAATGGAGGTTTCGTTTAAAGCATCAGACAACACATACTAGGATAAGGAGTCCCCAAAAAAGAAAGACACTTTGGTTGTATCCTCTGACCCTTAAATCTCATTAGCTCTTAGTAAGGGATAAGGGAGTACTATCCCCATATAATCTCTGTACCATATCTTCGCTTATATTCCCTGCTAAGCGCAGGTATGTTTGGCCCTAACCCTCAAACCGAGCTGCTGCTCTGTTCTGCTCTAGGCCAGATGGTCTTCTCCGGTCTAGGCGAAGATGGGTGCTGTTGCTTCACCTGAGTAGTGTTTTTTTTTCGTGGTTGAACCTAGTGATATAATATTCCTTATACAAAATACTGACCAAAATACTATACCCCAAAAGGAGGATAGAATCTTAATTACTCTATAATGGGTACCATAGTACCCCAAACCTTAAACCCTAAACCCCTAAACCCTAAACCCTAATCCCTAGTATCCCAAAGTTCTATATTGGGTACCATAGTATCCCCAAATAAAATACTACTCACATGGGTCGCTCTCAGGTGGCTGTCTCTCAAAATGAGGGGTGTTTTGAGGGACCGATGGTGGTGTAGTTATTGGGACGATATGGGTGGTTGTCAAAATTATGGTCCCTTTTTTGGATCCCTATTATAATACGGCCCCTAATATTTTGGGTACCCAAAAAGGGACCATAATTTTGACAAACACCCATAAAGCCTTCAGCGGTCCCCGTTAGGGATTCCATGGGGATTGTTTTGAGAAACGCACATGTTGCTGGTAGAAACAACTCCGGTGAAAATACACTTCCTTGACGATGCCGGAGATTTCAAAGTCACTCCACTTTTCCCTTTGATGCCTACATGCCTCGACGCTGCCTTTGAAGTGTTTGGGTCTTCAGGTGTTGGTTGTTACAGGGGCTCCACTGTATCAAGGAAAATTTGTACCAAAGAGAAAGACATACAATCGGGGCGTAGTCACCGCTGGTGCATCTATGCTCACCATGTCCTGGTACATATCCGGCTGGTAGGCCTTGAGGACTTTCTTGGCGCCAGATGTGGTCAATGCTTTCGAGAGCTCCTTGCGACAAGCTTCGGCGATCGAGCCGGTGTCCATAAGGAACTCGAATTTTGTTACCATAATATGGGTATATAGTAATTACTAGGGCTTTCTCATTTCCTTATTGTAACCCAATTCAAGCTCCTTAGCAACAACCCAACTAAATGAGGACCGCAATCAGCTTAGGGCTTCGGTCGGCTTGCAGCTTCGGAGTTTTTTCAAATGATGGAAAATCAAATGGAAAATGACATGTAAACTGGAATTATGAAAACAAAAATCTGCTGAAACCAGCCCCTGGATCCTTTTTGTCGGGCTTATGGCCCATCAGAGCACTCAGAAATGCCAGGGTTGGGCCTGGCTGCGCATAGCGCAGCACCGTGCCGCCGAGCTGATCATCACCGACCCTGATGTGGGCAAGCAGTGGTGCGATTACTATGAACATGTTAGCAGCTTTGCAAACAGGATAGCGAATGCAGACTTTCTGTGAGTGAGAATGCTGGCGCAAACAGCGCTGTAGGGTTTGGGAAATCCGGACCTCAGATAGAGGTCTGCGCGGGCTTCCAAGAGCAGCAGACAGCTCTCCAAATTGCCGCCCTCTGACGCCAGCATAAGCCTGACTTCCAATATGAAAGGTGTTAGGATTTCGGGTTTAGGGTTTACAGTCTTTACAGGGTTTACAGGGTTTATAGGTTTTAGAGTTTACAGGGTTTAGGGCTTAGGTCCTCGCCAACTAGTAATTACGTGTGACCCCGCGAAATACTACCCATTTTGTGGTGTCCTACTGTACCCTTGTTGTAAGACGATTCACCTGTGGGATAACCTCAGGCATATGGGATGTAGGATGGGGGCATGCGAGGTCTAGTAGCGCGGGATGAAGTGCTGAGGGCTTGCCGCGCGGCATTTGGGGTGTCTAAGGCATAGCTTGTCAGGAGTAGGGTTTAATGTCAGCGTAATCTCTGGAGTGTAGGATGCAAGGCGTTGGTTCTGTGGAGTTTCCAGAGAGGTATAGCAAAACAGAAGGGATGTCAGCCAAAATCCTAGGCCCCTTGTTCTTACAACACAACAACAACTGTCCTCTCAGCCCCGTTAACACGACTTAAGCTTTTACAACATGCTGGAGCCAATCTTAGTCCAAAAGCTGCGGATCTTCTCTCTATCCCTGCCTATGGGGTTAAAGTTAGGTTAGGTCATACCCCCTTACAATAACTTTTACCCCAATAGTTAATAGGAGTTACAATAAACCCATAATACGGCCCCTTTAAGGACAGTTATTGTAACGGGGAATGACCCAAGGTTTAGGGCTGAAGGGTTCGGGCTTCTAAACCCTAAACCCTTGAGCCCTAAACTCTAAACCCCAGACCCTAAACCCTAAACTTTACAGCCCTAAACCCTTAAACCCTAAACGGTCTCCTACTGGGGAGGTCAGTCTCATTTTTTCAGGGCTTCTGATGCGGTTTAGGGTTCAGGGTTTAGGGTTTAGGGTGTAATGGTTGGGTGTGAAAGTCGCGGGCGGTAGGTTTGGGGGGTATGGCTTTACAGGCATTGCTCTCCAAAATAAAAAAGGTGCTACTGGCGTGCCTTCAATATTTTCAAACCCTACCCTAAGCCCTAAACTCTAAACCCCGAGTCCTCAGATCTCGAAACAGTAAGCACGCAGGATGGGTGGCGGCAAGGCAGATGTTTCGATTCAGTCCTTTGACTTACTGGGGGTTAGTAGGGAAGATAATCCCTATGAAGCCGAGGTCAGTAGATTGGCGCGGGGGCTTTGGGATCCAAGCCATGTGGGCCATGTGATCTAAGCCCAAGACAGTCGGGGCTTTGAGCATGAAAGGCCTGAGATCTGCGGTTGGCGGTTTCACGATCAAGGGTTCCCTGTATTTGGACTCTCAGCCCTCCACCCCAAGCCCTCTGTCGAAATGAACGCCTATACGCCTGATCTCAGATTGTTCAAAGCTCTGTATTCAGCTAAGTGGTGATCGGCATGGGTCTTAAGCCAGAGATATCTCAGTGACCATAAGCCATTCTCTATCCTTCATATCTCTCTGAAGCTTGACAGCAGCTCAACACTTACAAGCCCAGCTGCGGCGTCTTGCCGGCAGCATCACGGCCTCACATTTTCTACACCATGCAAAGCAAGCTTCAACATACCAGACAGATTCTGAAAAAAAGGCCTTAGAGAACACCAGTTTCCATGGCATCTCCATCTTCCTTTCCATTTGATTCTCCATGTTTGAGGAATATCCCAATTAAACCCTACCCCCCTCCTAAAATCTCCACACATACTTGCACCCGGAGGCCGGCATCCTACAGGAGGCTTCTCACAATTCTCGGTATGTACCCTTCATGAAAGTCCGTGAAAGTAGGCACTTCCCGTATTTTCAAAAGGGGGGCTTACAACAGGCCTCTGTGTCCAAAGGCTTTTGTTCAAAAGTCTCTGAGAGATGGCAGTTTCCCAAAAGAGGGGGACCCCAATATAGACCCAAAATTGCTAGAATCCCATACCCCCAAAAGGGTACCCCGTGTTTAGGGAAACCCTCAACCCTACACCCATAATCCTAAACCCTATATAACCCCTGAAGGGTACTCCCTAATTTTGGGAAACCCTAAAACCTGCAAACATAAACCTAAACCGTATATAACCCTTCAAGGGTACCCCCGAATTTGGGAAAACGCGAAACCCTACACTCATAACTCTCAAGCCCATATAACCCCTATTTGAGCCTTTGTCTAAATTCCCAGTATCCCCCTTAATCAGACCTACGTATAATACTCCCCTATATAATCCCCTATAATTATAGCCCCTTTAAGGAGCTTAGACTATGGCTCATATGACCCTATAAGGGTACCCTAATGCCTAAATCCTAAACCCTATAAACTTTAAACCCTATGTAACCCTACATAACCTTATATAACTCTAAATAACCCCCATACAACCCTTTAAGAGTACCCCTAATTTTGGGAAACCCTCAGATGCCAGCGCAAGTGTCAGTTCGGGTCTGCACCCTGGTCCAGAAAGTGTCGCATGTCGCAGAGGCCTAGGGTTGAGGGTTTAGGGTTCGGTCCATGTGGAATGCTTAACAGATCTCCTATGACAGTTATATGACGAATTATATGTTTATGGTTGAAGTTCACAGAGTCTAGCTTGACAGAGAATGTAGGATTAAGGCGTCTGACCTTTAAACCGACCCTAAATTCCAATTGAGAAATACTTGAAAACTGCTTCCAAATCAGCTGCAGAGGCAATGCTCCCGAATGGCCACGCCTAAGGCGGCAACAACACAACACGCGGATTCAGGATTTTGGGGCTACGGATACTGTACCGGTGTGTTGTAGGGCTTAAGGCTTAAGGGCTTAATCACGATTTAGTGGTTGTGGCTTGGGTTCCGGCTTTGGGGCGTACGCAAAGGCAGATTCAAAAGGCAACTTATGCTTAGAAACTTATCTCTGACACCAGAAACTATGAAATTACGTGGGCTCTGCCTTCTCGACCGTGACAATACGTCAAAAAAAGCAGTGCACTTTCCATGGCTGCCTTGGCCGGCAGCTTCACCCTACAACCTTAATCGAGGGTGTCGAGCGCAACGGGTGCCCCGCTTGAAAGGATCCTCGCGACACGGAATCATGTAGTCTGGGAGTTTGTAAAGCAAGAAGTATTTTCCGGTTCGCCAAACTCTAGACCACACGGCTCCTCTCTAGCAGCCTGCTGTACTTATCGCAGTACGCCGCAGTTGTCATGTAACATTGCGCAGGAAAGTCTTCCCAGTCTCTGTCCAGGCACAGAGTGGCTCCAGAGGCTTCACCTGTCACAAGGGCGAACTGTTACTTGCAATCCCTTCTCCCCAATGCTCATTGAGCATCCTACAGTACTGATCACTACTTCGACAGCACTGCAAGGTTCTGGGTAAGGGCTCTTCGAGCTTGAGACCAAAACTACAAAGTACCTACACCCAAAAAATCCACGGCCTACCTGCCCCGGACACCCAAACCCTGAACCGGGCCTCCAAGGCGAAAACCTCAGCGTACAACCACGGCTCTCTCCCACAACAACCCCAAAAGCACCCCAACGCTGAAAACACGATGACTAGCGGTACCCTACCGCTGGTAATCGAAACTCTGCATGACGTTGGTTTAGCTAGAAGACCAACTCCTAGCATCCCCCCCTATAATAATCCCCTGTATAACCAATTTTTAAGGAGCTTAGACTATAGCTCATAAATCTTCAGGCATAAGCTACCTGGGGTCACACAGGATTTTGACAACCCATCCATCAACTGTCCTACAGAACAACACTTGTCAAATGACGGTTGCCCTCATAGAGTCCTCATTTGGGGGGCGTTCCATAGTTGGGGGAGGGTATCCCTAAACCCTAAACCCTAGACCTGAAATCTCTCATCAACTCTGTTGGCTTCAAGTTTGGGGTTTAGGTTGCTCAAGGCCAAGCCTTTCAATTGACTCCTCCCCACGGAAACCCAAACCCGTAAAACTCTGAAGCCTCCAGGACCCCTAAGTAAGCTCTTAACCCCTCAACCTCACCCCCTAACCCTCACAATACTAACCACCCCTACAGCCTAGGATCCTAAGCCTTGAAACTCTGACATATCCGCCTGGAACGGCATCCCAGACGGCCGTAGAAGCGGTCCATGCTGCGGGTGGTCCAGTAACATCCAGCCGGAAAGCCACGTCTAGCAGGCTTTTGGTGCTTCAGAGAAAGGAAACTCTTGCAGGGTTTAGATCTTCTAGCTTCGGGTTTAGGAATCGGGCATAGGTACAGGGCTCTTATGACGGATTAAATAACTATTCCCTGCTCGCCGGCAGTAAGCAAGGACTACGTCCGCCTATTTAGGGCTTGGGGGCTTGTATTATTGCTCACAAAGGGGGAACCCACAGGCACCCAAAGGATATCTAGGCATCCTCGGAGGATTCTATGAGGCCCCCCATTCTTTAGGGTTTAGGGTTTTGGGTCTGGGAGGACTTAGTACGTAGGTTAAGAATGCGGAAAAATTGGGTTCTCATATGTCTTGAAAGGGTAGAATATACTTGCGAAATCCCCCTGACCACCAGGTACAGAGGGACCATCTTGGTGATCCATATGAGCTATCGTCTAAACTCCTAGCATCCCCCCCTGACAAGACCCTATAATACTCCCGTATCTACTCCCTAAACCCTAAACCACCCCTAAAACCTAAACCCCTAAACCTAGACCCTACACCCCTAAACCCAATCAAGGAGTTTAGACTATAGCTCCTATCAGAGGCTGGGCAGAGCTTCTGGGGTTTTTGGAAAGGAAGGCCGTACCCTACCCTACCCCTACACACGCCTACACCAAAGCGCAAAATCTAGACAGAATACTCGGGTTTAGGGGGTCTAGGGTTTAGGGTTTAGACTACTGTTGATAC